TTATCCTTTTAACGTTCTAAGATCGCGAGGATGTGGTATTTAACTGCTATGAAATTTCCATAACTTTCATATCCATATTGAATGATCAATTTGGCAATAAGATTTAGTATAATAAAGAACCTGAGAAAAATATTCAAAGAAAAAATTGCATTTTTTAAAATTATTTTCCAAACAATCTAAATGCAATAAATTACCGGTTGACTTTATTTTGGTTTTTCAACTGAAAGCGTACTCGTTTTTCCCGTTTCTAAAAATAATATATGATACTAATATCTTAATATTAATTTTACTACAGATAGAGTTACCTGTGTCCAGTCTCGTGAAAATTAACCTCCCATTAATACATGGAATAGATAGGCGTGTTGAGTCTGGTGTAATACAAATGAAAAGCGAACGAGGTAAAAATTCAGTCATGGTTGTCCTGAGGCACCACCGATCTTATTTAAAATACAGTAGAATCTACCTCGACAAAGAGAGAAGACACTCATCGTGTCACCTTAAAACAAAGCTGTCAGCGACTTGTCACACCTAGCACATTATCATCAATTCTGTGTAAGATGTCGCAATCATGTTGAGACAGAACAGACGCCAGAATATCACCCTGTATAATTATGATTATTTCTTATTTATTGATAAGATATTGATAACCCAGTGGGTTGAAGTTCTAGATGAATATTAAGAGCACTACAATAATAATAAGATACATTTTAATGAATCTAAGGTTTCATTCCATTTCGTTCTATGTAGATCAGTCCAACTCTGCTGAATGCAATCAGTTTAACAGATTAACACACCTCCTCTTGTTTCTAACTTTCTCGTATAATCACCACCTTTTCTGTATTCTACCAAACGCCAGGCGGAGGCGTAACAATTTGAAATATCAATTCCCGAAGAAAAAAATATTTGATACGAATGGAATTTCATTTCTTTCATTACATAAAATATGTTAATTGAGTGCTGTATGTGAAATAATCATGTGATGTATGATATATGTTGAAATCTTGTATATGTCAATATTGGCAGCATGAAATGACAGGAGGATATTGGGGAGGTACATGTAGAATAAAACTGTTATAACTTGTGCATGACAGTACAGACGGGCGTTATGATAACTGGATGTATGATGCAAAGTGAAAAAAATCAATTTCAATAAAATACTTCGGTAAAATATAGGTATAGCGTATTTTCACGGCGTTTGTGCTGACGTGTTAAAATATTGCACGGAATTTACAGGGATAAGTGGTATTTTTTTCTCCTACTAATCAACCCTTCTTTCCCGCCATTGGCCAAAACTGTAAAAATCTGGGATAATTTAATAAACGCCATCATTATCATGACCAGGTTACACACACACATATTCGCAAGTTTATCTGTCATTGTGAAGGCAAATGAAGACTACATCATCGCACATTCAGAAATGATCACATGATTTAAAGTTTATAAAGTTTTAGTCTGCAGCTGATTCCAGCAGATGGCGCCATAGTTCGCTCAGGTAGGTTACATATACTAAACTCTGTTCAGATGAAAACGTGCATTTGATCATAACCAGTGACGTAAATAATGTTTCGTGTGAGATAATACACTGTCATCCGAGTGATATATTGTGGGGGTGTGTGGGGGGGGTGTTAGGGTTTGGGTTTAATTTTATCAATGGCGTGTTTTGAAATATATCAAACACAAATGCGTCCTATGCATTTTTATTGCAGTAAATTGTCAATGAAGGTTCACCTATCAGATAATGCTGATAATTAAGTAAATAATGCTCCCAAAATATCCTGCCTCCTCCCCCATGAATCATATGTAACCAACACTCCAGAAAGAGATGTCACGTCATCAGTTCTGAGTGACCAGGGAGTGGATGCGAGGCGGTCCAGATACTAAGTATACGAATATCTAAGTTTCAACCAATTTCGTACAACGTTGTAAGATATTAATGTTAGATATTTGATGATAACTTATGTGTAATTCATTTTTGATGCCTGAATGTTTAAAACAAGTTTGGAAATACCCCAATATTTTCCCCATTTTGCTTCCTCCACATTTTTCCCGTTCTTCATATCTCATATGCACTTCATGTTAATTGAACTGCGTTAGTAGATATAGTCGTAGGAGTAAACGTTTTGCATGTATTTTTCTCATTCTTTTTGCAATGGAGAGAGATAGTATATGTAGGAAAATAGGTAGTTATAAAACTTGTTTGCAAATCTCTTTAAGAAAATATATTCCTTTATCCAGCAAAGAGTGAAGTAATTTTTCTTCAATCAACAGTTTACCTTTACCTCCAATATTTTGATCTTTAACAGAACATTCATCATTACTCACCTGGATAGCCTCATTCCCTGATTTCAATATTAAGCTATTGATTGAAGAAAAATTACTTCATTCTTGTAACGTAACACAGCTGATGAAATTCTCTGATTTGTCCAGTTAAAATGTATTAAATATTGGCAATATAACATTGAATAATATTGTTTTTGTTTATGTCTTGTGAGCTATTTTTTAACTGTGTTCTTTTATCCAATGAATTTAATGACAAATAGAGGATATTACATTAAATAATAATTTCTGCTGGTGTCAATTCTTAATTTCTTGTTCTTTAGTACTTTGAATTCAGCATACAAAATAAAATCACTCTCTTTGAAAACATGGGGTTTAATTTCAATTCAAAGGCATATAGTACGCGTTACACATTTACCTAGAAAAAAAAAATCCTGAGAAATTCAACAATTTCCCTTCATCACCAAAGCACACTTTTATCCAATACCGATAACAAAAGTACGATGGGTGTTCTAAATACCGTATACCTTGGTGATTTATTGTTAAAATTTCAAGGAAAATTTATTGACTAAGTGGATCGAATTGCTGTACACTGTTTTGTTTACCGTATTACCTGAATTATTTATTGTTGAAATTTCTAGAAAAATAAAATTTTAGCTACATACGGGTCCTGCAATCACTATGTGCCTTTAACGTTAGCTTTACTTTAAATGCTCAGATAAGAGATTAGAATACATGGTTTCATAAATTTATTCTTGTAATGATCCAGTTTTCTGATGTCTAGGTTCGTAGTATGTGCACCACGACTTTCGTTAAAATGTAACTGGACGATGATGTCTCTTAAACAAATCAAGATTCTGTGTAAAGATGAAAATTTATGCTATTTTTCAAAATCTGCTCAACTTTGAAAACCCCTATTACTTTTATTAGTTCGCTCAGCATGTGCAAAAATGATTACTTTCTACATGTGCTATGTGAGGTTCATATATGTTCTGTGATAGCAAAACATTTGTCACGAGAGTTGTAGAATTGCTCATAATTGTAGGTATTTAGTTATTGAAATGATTCTTATAATACCGTATGTTGAGAAACAGAGAAAAACAGCGTCGGATCCGGAACATGTAAATGTGATCAAATTGTGAAATTCTAGGTAATTTGTAGCATTATGTGTACTTGATAATGTTAGTCCAGAGTGGGTTTCCTTCTCAATTTTTCTGAGGTTACAGGTGGACTGAATACCGGATCCGGCGTTCTTTTTTAAGGGAAAAAGTTTTTTTTCTGAAATATTTTCTTTAATATCAAACATAAGATCAAACATAAAAAGTTTAGTTGTTAGTTTTATTTGTCAAACAAATAGATTGAATTTGTTAAATTTTTAGTGAATTCTAATGAAGATCTCAATAACTTTGTTTATATCAGTATATTCAAACCTTCAAAACAAATCACAAATGTAGTCGCACAAACTGATGTTTAAAGATGATTAAATATACATGCATAAATGGAATGGAATTTTGTTTTGGTCTTAATAAAGAAATACCAAAATTATGCGTCGTAGTATTTTCGTGTTCATTGGTACCCACGGGTTGGGTTCACTTTTCTACTCGCGTACTTGGATATCACTGAGTAATTTACAAGGACTTTTAAAAAATTTCCTTTGGTTACTATAAGAAGAAAGTCTACCTAAGGAGGGTGGGTGGGAACAGTTAGAGGAGTAGGTAACGCGCTTGCCTCTCAGACAGAAGGTTGCCAGTTCGATTCCTGGCGCCACTGGGTCCCAGCGAATTACCTTTTGCAAAAATAAATCCAAATAAAGAATTTCGACTTCTACAAAACATTGCTACGAACACAGTATAGTAAGAGGAGTCGGTGATCCTGTAGTTAAGAAAAATAACTTCCGTTTTGTTCATAAAATAATATAGCACATTTATTATTGCACAAATGAATACAAAAAGTAACAGCATTGTTTTGACAAAATATTATAAAACTTGGAATATCTTTTTTCTTCTACATTAATGGCAATTGCATAAAACGTACTATGAAATGTGAAAACAAAACTGGTTCTCTATCTAACTAAAACGTGGAGATTCTATGCATTTGAACATTTCTACTTGGCCGGCGTAGCCTTTTGATTTATAAAGGAGTTCAGAAATATTATGATAGACATAATACCAACAAGATTAACCAAAAAAAAAAAAAAAACGTTTTTCTTAATTCACGTGAAAGATATAGAAAATTCAGTATGCATATAACCTAATCCTATCACGACACATGTACCCACATGGAAGCACTATGTCGTCTTGCTGATGTTCACAAAACAAAAATAGGGAGTCAAAATAATCAAATTTTGTAAAATTCCTGATAGTTTTGTTCATCGATAAATATTTTTCATGTCTAACACAAACTCGTTTTCTTCACATGAAATCCTAAAATATGTATTTCATGGCACAACTTTGAGCGAAAACTGAAGTTTGTATTGCATGCGAATCAGAAACGCCATAATCATGACATGACCAACTAAAAAGCTTATTTCAACCACAGCCATTTTAAACAATAATATGCATGAAAAACGGGAAAAGATTATGCAAATTCATATTTACTAAAAACAATGCTAATAAACTTAAAACTGGTCTCCGGTGTTCAGTGATCAAGTAACCCTCAACATTATAACTCAACAGGACATGCAGGACTGACATCAGATAAGGAGTTATAAGTTATAAGGGGGGGGGGGGGAGGTTAACGAGTCGGCTTTGCATCTGCGGACCCCCCTTCAAATATTCCTGGATCTGCCTCTGATCATTACCCTAACAAATCGGCTTTTTGGCAACTAAAGTGATTGATTCGAATTTGTCAAGAATTTGTCGAGAATTCAGAATGTAAAAGTTTCTGATGAATGTCAGTCCTACATAAACCCCTTAATGAAGATAATATACCGAAATAAATTACTATTCAAATTGCAGCGAACTGTCTAATTTCTTTTGGTAAATACGCATCGCATTTTCTTCTTCGACTGAACAATAAATATAACAATATAACGTTCAACAACTTCTATAGATGCATTTACACGGTTGGGACGTTTTTTTTCTTCTCTAAAGTTAACTTCATCAAAATAAATATTAGGATTCAATTTTAAATAAATGATTGTTTACAGTGAAATGCCAAACTGCAGATTTGCCCTCACAAATATATTACCATCAGAATGGAAAACGGTCGTCCTGTTTGTAGCAAGCACTCTTCTTGGTGACAATTTGACAAAAACCACAACCGATTTAGACGTAAATAAAGCAAGCCACTTGTTGCATTGGCAATATTCATATTATAGGAGAACTTTTAAAAAGTCGTTTTCATTTTCGAGACCCGAAGTTTACCTCCCCCTAAACCAAATGCACTAGAAAATTACCATTAAAACACCATGAGCGGGGAGAGTAAAGTACAACAACCTGTTAACATACATATGTTTATATGTACAATAGCAAACCAGTGGCATACAGGGCTGACGCTTGCTATAGAATTAGACCGTGTTCACAACCAGATGATCCGCGGTCTATCTAGTCCGTGGATCAAATATGGTGCGTACATGACAGTGGATTTCCCGCCTCCCACGCGCGCCGTTCCAGCAGGGGAGAGCAATTAAATCCAGGCTTGCTTTCAAGTGGGGCTTTCAACTAGTTAGTCTGCGGATCAACTGGCTGTGAACAAGGCCTTAGTCCTTTCAAATACTCCTAACATCCGACTTTTCATTTGATACACGTTCTGATGACGAACATCACAACCCAAAGTAAACGTAACACTTCATTTAAATGTTAACCCTACAAATTTACTAGCAGACAAACTCTGACATGCGACATGTAATCTTGACATGGATGCAGCAGCTGTGGAACACGAGTCCGACGTCATTGATGGAGAACGTATTCAATCTTCTCGTGCACGGTTGAGTCACTGAAATCAAACAAAAACACTTTTAAAAACTGTGTCTATGGGTTGATTTAATATAACAGATTTCGATATTAATATTCAACAAATCGCTTTTCAACTTCTAATTTATACGAATATATATTCTGAGGTGTATTTTATGTAATCATGGACGTTAAAATAATATCATTTCTATTCTTTTACACCGTGTTCACACTGAAACCCGACAACATTCTGTGTCTTTAGAATTACGTGTCAGGACGACTAGAAAAAGATACTGTCCCTCGAAATTTTTAATAAACTATTGGCAGGAAGGTATTAAAATAAAAAGATAACGAGATCTTTGAAAGAAGAACAACATAATCACGACATGTACACATTGGTAGTGGGTTTAGAATCTTTTAAAATCAAAACGTTACCTACAAATGTAGTTACCTGCCAAAATGTCCTTACATTGTTTAAGACGGAAGACGCGTTCACAGCTGGAGCAAACCTCTCACCATCTGTTTACTGGCAAATGTGTTCCATCTGAAAATAATAACAGAAAATAAACTATTTAAACGTGAAGTTGAATTTGGACTTTTAATGTAAAATATTGTTGACGTCAAGACAAAATGTCGACATGATGCCTTATTTGCAAATTGCACCATTTTTTGGGTAATATCATTAACGCTAAATAACCAATGTCATCTTCCATCATCTATACAGTACTTACAACAGATCGATGTCAATTTCTGTCCCAGATTTCTGACTATTCCGAGAAAATTGTGACAATGAGACACAAGGCTTTCTTCTCCATCTTCTACTGACCTTGGTCCTTTCTGAACACCTCTCACCAAAATACTCACCTAGATTACATAATAATATATACTTGGCCACCTTCCGTACAGAAGCCTCGATTTCAACTTAAGCCTTTGTCATGTAATACAGAGCAACCGTGCCCCCCCCCCCCCCCTTAATCCCATGAGACAGGAAAATTACCCAAACCCACCCCTAACGCACATGAAGGTATTCAGTAATGAAATGCAACGTCATAATCTGTATCTATTTACCCGAATAGAACTGAGTAGAACAGACAGAAATAAAAGAAATTACAAGTTGAGAAAGGTATGAATCAATTTACTACATCTTCTGCTATCGACCAAAATAAATTTGAGTTAATAATCTTAAAAAAATTTTCAAGCGTTTTGAGTTTATAGTTGTGTTTTGAAAGAACTGTTATATATTTTCTACATCTCAAATGCAGAGTTGACATTAAACACATCTTTATTTTCAAAATTGCATTGTTGCTGTAAATTGTGTATTTCTACATACATAACTGGAATAATTTTACATAAACACTTTTCCTTCCATAGTCTCAAATCCACATTGGCAAATCAGTTTAGACATTCTAGAGTATTGTATCAATTTTCATTGTTTAAATCAACAATCAAGCTCAACGTGTATTTTGTATTTATTTTTTATTTAAGCAGTCTGTTGATACATTGATCTTTACATGCTTTTATCAAAGATATGTCCTGTTTACATTTTCAAACTTAACGACCTCTAGCACCTAAGCAAGATATTATTTCAAGACATTTTCTTAAAGTCTCACCCATATATAGAGATAGCCCTACATAATAAAAACATCAAAACAGGGCAGTTTTACAGAGAACTATGAGGACTACAAGACTAAACAAATATCTAAAAAAAACTATAATTTATTTATAGATAAAATTTCTCCTTAATGCTAAAAATTGGCAGCAGGTTTTGGTTGTAAAATAAATCTTGATATTAATATCATCAAAAAAAAAAATTACTCTGATTATCTAAAAGTTCAAAATTGCAGAGTTGCTTCCTGTGTGAAGACAAAGGGGTTTGCTTACGGGCGGAGCAGTGAATTTGTGGCAGGGCAGAACAACTTTGTTACCAGTAGATACAGAAGAGGGAGAAACTTAGGCAGTGGGAATAAAGCTGTTATGAAATCCACAAACTCTTGTTGAGATGTCCAGAATTTTTCAAGTTTACATTACACTGAAAAACTAATGCTTTTGCTGTGTAAAGATTGAACACATTTAATGTTGAAAATTCAATTCAATTCTGTTCTTTCAGTTGATACCAAAACCAACAAAGTAACACTAGTAAAGACTCTAAGTATTGAGGAGATGGGTAGGACAATAATCTCAGTAAAATCATTTGTTGCTCAAACAAAGTCTAGTCTTTAGCATACTTAAGAATATTTATCTTAAAGTCAATTAACTCTTTGAATATGTCTCCAACAAACTGTGATACTGAATCCTATGTGAACATACACAGATATGGAATGTTAAGTTTTTATTTGATATAATATCAAAAAACATAGCAGATGTTAACAGCGCTGAAGACAGAGCCCTATGAAATGTCCATACATTATTAGTTACACATTTAATGCACTCATGAAACATGCACATACATATATGATATACTAGCTACATACATATACCCACTTATACATAATTTTTCTTGGAAAAGAATATTGCAGTAAATTTGGGACCACAATTGTATTTGTCTAAGTTCAAACACAATGAATAATTAATAGAAGAAGGAATACACATCTGGCCCATACAATGTAAAATGGCTATCAGAAGTGTAATCTTTCAAAAATGTAACTAAACTAGNGGGCAGTATAAACCATCTGAAACAAAGACGCGACTGTAAAGTTATACCAAGAATTGCATGCTTGCTCTTTGCAAAATTATTCTTTGTTTGGTGCAAAAAGTGCAGAAATATGTTTTATCGTCGGAACGTTCAGTGCATGATATAGTCATGTTCAGGTCCGTTGGTAAATAAATATAAGTGCATGCATGTTTGCAAGTTATATCAGTCGATTATTTACCTTGGTATTTGTATCCTTTCACCATCACCTCACAGAGAGTTAATGGAGCTGGGGAGTTGTGAGTCAGACTGATCCTCACAAACTGTCCCACTACAGGCGCGCTATTACAGGGCAGTTCAACGGTGCCACCATGTGGTAAGTGTTCCACTCGACTGGCACAATGGTTGAATGTGTTGTTTGGTAAGACTGCATTGATTTCAATATTCTTCAAGTGTCTACCGTCTGACAGATGTAATAAAACAATGAATACTTTATATTATTAATTCACATAAGAAGCCAGGTAAAATCATATTTCAAAAGAAGGTAGCCGATTTTCTACATAATCCTTAAAGCAAGAAGTGTTTAATAACACAAGAAATCTTTAACACAAGAAGTGTTAGATATTAATTAATAGTAACGTATACCGACAGTTAACAAAACAATTACTTATGCCATCCCTGTTCACTAATGTCACGGAGTAGATGGAGTACGTGGCGTTAAGATCAACTTTCCACCATGGGTTGTTTTCATTCTGTGTATGGGAGCAACCCCTAGCACCAAAATTTGCGTTTGTATTGCCATCTATGGCGTATTTGGCTGTCCAATTCACATTATTGTGACGAATAAAACTAGACTGACTAGCAGTCTTTCCAAAAGCAGTGTTATCTGAAATATTAACAGTTAAAAGTTTGTCTGTTTGACGTGATAATTTCATTGCTACTTGATTTTATATCACAATACATCGACATGTAAATCATTTGTCTATACATATATGTATTACCTCAAGACCATTCACGGTTATTGCTACAAAACCGATGCAGACAATCTAAGAAACACAACTTGGTCAATATTTCTTGAAATATTACAGAGAATCTTTTTGTGATCACGCTTACAAGTAATGGATAAGACTAATATCTTACATGGATATGTATACCCTCGAATAATGACTTCGCACAGCTGCAAAGACGCCAGTCCTGGTTTGGAGAACTTGACATAGCGAGCGAGAACTGGAGGATCCACCGTTTGCTCGAAAGAACAAGTAGCCATCAATTGTATGTTCCCTTGTTGAGTTGTATCATTACCAATGTACATGCTGATTGTTTGGCCTTTAAAATAAGAAAAAGGTACACCCTTAAATAAGTTAGCCCGTGTTTAAGACAGGACCTGCAATTAACCATGACACAATAATGAAATAGGATAACAATGTTGTAATATTAAGTAGAAAATAGGCTTCGGTCTATAAGTGGGGTCCCAGGCCCCACTCCTACAAAAAGGGATACTTTATAAAACCCCCACTGAGTCCTTCAAACGCAATATAAGTAGATAACGTATTGCAAAATATCTTTTTTGTATCATATATTCCAAAACACAGCAGGGGAGGAGGAGAGAACACACAAACGTCAAACAACCCTTCCGTTTATAATACCCTGGATGTTGCATGCAAATGGTAAAGTATATGCCGACTATTTACGGTGGGTATTGCATATATTAATCAACCGTAAATTCAGAGCATATACTAGTAGCCCTATCCAATCACATGTACAGATTTTTTTTTCAACCACATGCGTAGGTATACTATGTATATAGCATTTAAACCACGGCTAGCGCGTAGAACAAAAGACTCGGCCGTGCTGTATTCAACATACAAGCACGTCATGTACGAGTGCGTTCCACGATCTGTTGCACTACTAGTGTAGTAGCCAATCAGAGGCCGTGGTTTAAGCCAGATGCGTGTATTGTCTCGCCTGCGGCTCGCCAATACACTCGTAATATTTCACGTACAGCTCGGCGACTCGTATTGTATCTATCACTTATTTAACGATAAGAGCCGACATTATACAATTTGTTTACATTTCAAAATTAATAATGATCATAGTTGTTAGCTAAACAGAAATGTTCTCATACATACAGTTGTTTGGCCTGATAACCGCCACAGAGCGGATGACGTAGAGACCTCCCAGATCCACCTGCCACCACGAGTTATTTTCTTGGTTTGTTGTTGCACAGGCATCAGTGCTGTTGTTTCCGTCTACCGCTAATGATGGTGGGTAGCTATTGCCGCCTTCAGTACTTGATTGGCTTGTAGGCTTTCTAAAGGCTAGATTGTGTTTTTCTGAAGAAATGCCATTGAATTTATACAACTAAGCATTTTTAATGATTATGAAACGAGAACAAGCCCACATGAAAAGTTTACTATATGCTTGATTGGTACATGTACGTTAGGCCTAACAAACTTCTACTTCATTCAAAAATGTTGTTGAATCTCAATAATTTACTTTTTGAATTACAACCCAAGTCATACATGAAAAAAACGTCCTTCTACTTGACCCCAATTAACCTACCATCCACACACCCTATCCCCCAGGGGTTGTCCACACAGTGACCAGGGCAGTTTGGAGACAGAGTCTTCTGACACGTTTGACCCTGTTTGCAGAAACATCCGTTTGTTGTGTTACATACCCAGCCGAAGTATCCATCACCGGCATTACAACACTGACCCTGATGTACTAAAACACAGAATTTTAGCCTTTATTGTCACATATTGTGCAGCGCGCCACCTATATGATGTGTGTATTGACCTGGGAGGTCATTGTGTATCTCAGTGAGCTGATTCTAATAAACACGTGTTCTGACAACAAGGCAGTTGTTATATGGTGTCAGAAGTGGGATTCTCAATGGAAACCTTGAAACCACCTGCACACGTTAATTTCCAGAGTGGAAATGTGGCTACAAACTGGCGTAAATGGGAGCAGCAATTCAAGGTGTACTATAATGCATGCGAATTAGGAGAAAAGTCTGGCGCGACGCAAGTCGCCATCTTGCTTCACACTGCAGGCCCGGAGGCGCAAGATATTTTTAACACGTTCACTTTTGAAGATGACTCACAGAAACAAGATGTAGACG